TTGAGCATCTTTTCATGTGCCTGTTGGCCATCTGCCTTTCCTCTTTGGAAAAATGTCTGTTTGGGTCTTTTGCCCACTTTTTATTCGGATTGTTTGTTTTTTTGATGTTGAGTAGTATGAGCTGTGGAGGTAAAAGACCTGTGCTAGGAAAACTATAAGACTCTGACGAAAGAAACTGAAAATAGCACAAACAGATGATGATATACCATGTTCTTGGATTGGAAGAATCAGTATTATTAAAATGGCCATACTACCCAAGGCAATCTACAGAATCTACAGATTCACTGCAATCCCTATCAAAATAGCAATGGCATTTTTCAAAAAACTGGAACAAATAACTTTAAAATTTGTATGGAAATACAAAAGAACCCAAATTGGCAAATGTTGAGAAAGAAGAACAGAGCTGGGGGAATCACACACCCTAACTTCAGACCTACAAAGCTACAGTAATCAAAACAGTATGGTACTGACACAAGAGCAGACACATAGATCAATGGAACAGAATGGAGAGCCCAGAAATAAACCCACACACTTACATTCAATTAATCTTCAACAAAAGAGGCAAGAATGTACAATGAAGAAAAGATAGTTTCTTCAATAAATGGTGCTGGGAAAACAGGACAACTACATATAAAAGAATGAAATTGAACATTCTCTAACACTGTATACAAAAATAAAATGGATTAAAAACCTAAATGTAAGACTGGAAACCATAAAACTCCTAGCGGAAAACATAGGCAGAACACTCTTTGACATAAATCACAGCAATATTTTTTGGATCTATCTCCTAAAGTAAAGGAAATAAAAAGCAAAAATAAACAAATGACGCTTAATTAAATGTAAAAGCTTTTGTGCAGCAAAGGAAACCATTGACCAAATGAAAAGACAGCCTACCGAATGGGAGAAAATATTTGCAAATGATCCAACCGTTAAGGGATTAATATCCAGCGTAAATGTTTTATTCTTTATTCCTGAAACCACTGTTATTTATTACTTCTAGAAAAAAAAAGATTATTTATTACTTGCAGAAAAAAGCATTCTTTATGTATACATTCCTAAAAGGAAAAATTTATCTTTTTATCAAGGCTCCTTCACCACAGCACTCCCAGATAAACAAACAAACAGACAAACAAAATCACCTGGTTGCCGATATCTGCAATTCTTCATGCAACAGAACACTTTATCTGGAACATGTGATACTGACTCATACTTATTCGTATAGCACCTGCTTTGGCATTACCTTTGGGTCTACTCCAAGAGAGAATTTCATGTTTTGGGAATTTCTTGGCTCGCAAATTCAGATAGCCCTCAAACATACTTATTTTTTAATTATTACAGGGTTACTGGTTCAGGCATTACTAAGCTTTTGTTCTCAAACTAATTATGCTGCTACGTTGTATTACAGAAATAACCATCTCTAAAATTTTCCTCATAAACCATATTTTTCCTGGATTCTTGCCTCAAATAGTCATAAATTGCCATTTGTGCCAGTTATCAGTTTATCATCTCTGAATTCCAAATTGTTTTGCTTTGTGATACAGGAGCTGGACTATGCAAACATTTCCCTGTTGTCAGCTGGTGCAACGTTGGGTTTTGTCAGCAGGGGGCATAGAAGGGACATTGCTGGAGGAAAGGCTGCTATTTTCGGGTTCTAATGTGACACCCAGGGGCACTCATGAACCAACAGGTTTTGCCAGCACCATGCAAAGTCTCACTGGCACCTCAGAAGACTTTCCAGTGAGTTTCACCAACATCCCAGAGGGCTGATACCCAACTAGTTTCACTGGGGCCCCAACAGGTGGTTTCCAGCCAGTCCTGGTTGATGGTACTTCAGCAAATTCCCTGTCATTAAGTAGGCCACAGCCACACCCTCTCCAGCAGAGGCTGGATGTCAGTGTTGGCCTCCTTCCAAGTCTTTTCCTTCGGTGGGTATTAGTCGCAGCTGGAGAGGTGGTAGCTACTCTCTCCCCTGTATCTGCTATGCTTGTATTCTGTCAAGTTCACTTTATTGCTAAGTTGTAATCCCCTGATATTAGGTAACTATTAATTATTTATCCCTTAGTAGTTACTCCTACTATTCGTTCCTTCTTAGATAATTCTTTATATTGAATTGCTCCACTCAGTTTACTGAGTGATTACTAGTCTCCTGGCTAGACCCTGACTGATACATCTTCTCTAGGTCATTCATAGGAATTCTGCATGGGGTATCTTCATTTTGCAAGAATGTCAGGATTCTGCTGACTTCCAAAATAAATTATCCTTTCAGTTGTAATGTTAGACATGTAAGGCCAAATTTCCAAGCCTGGTAATCCAGCACATTACATTTAAATAATATACGTTATTTTGCAAAATTCCAGGAATCAGGAAAGACTCAAAGACATTGAATTTCTGTTGTGGTGGCCTTCCTTAAGCCCACTAACTTTTATTTTATTTGTGGTCCCAACATACTATTTCCGGTAATAGTCTGAGAACTAAATTGCACAGGTAAATACTAAAATGTATTTGCACTGGGGAAGTATTTGGATATTAGAAATGGACGCTACTATTGCCTACAACTCAAAGATTTGAAATTTTTAAAAATCTCTACCAATAGGGAGCCTATAGGCAAACTAAATTTTTTTAAAACTACACTTTTAACCAACATAATCAAACATCAGAACATTTGAGATTTTGGGGCTCTGTACTGTCCTTTGTCAGGAATGACCCATAGTAGAGAAAACATTTGCAAATAATATACCTAATAAGAATCTAGTACCCACAATATATTAAGAACTCATATAACTGAACAACAAAAGACAGTCAACCCAATTAAAAATGGACGGAGTATTTTTGAACATTCTCCAAAGAAGATACATAAATGGCCAGCAAGCACTTAAAAAGATGCTCAGTGTCATTAAAGAAAAGTCAATTGATGTGATAACCTATAATGGAATATAATTTGCAAAAATACTGAATCAGTATGCTGTACACCTGAAACTAATACAATATGGTAAATCAACTATACTTCAATTTGAAAACAGAAATGCAAACTAAAACCATCATGAGATGCCACTTCACACCCACTCGTATGGATAGAATTAAAAAATAACGACAGAAAATAACTAGTGGTGGTGAGGATTTAGAGAAATTGGAACTCTGATACATTGCCAATACGAATATAAAATAGACAGACACTGGGGAAGGAATTTGGCTATTCCTCAATGATTACCCTATGACTCAGCAATTCCACTCCAAGCTATAAATGTAAAAGAGTTGAAAACAGAATGTTCAAACAAATGCTTGTACACAAATGTTCATAGCAACACTACTCACAATAGCCAAAGAGTGGGAACAACAAATGTCCATCAGCTGATGAATGTTTAAAGAAAATGTGGTATCTCCATGCAAGAAATATTATTCAGCTATAAAAAGGAAAGAAGTACAGATACACACTGCGATGTGGATGAACCTAGAAAACATTGTGTTAAGTTAAAGAATCAGGCACAAAAGGTCACGTGTTGTATAATTCCACTTATATAAAGTAGCCAGAATAGCAAAATCTGTAGATTAGTGGTTTCCAGGGCCTCAAGGAAGAATGGACTAAAGAGTGATAACTGAATGAGTATGACGTTCCCTTTTTTGGTGGTAAGAATGTTCTTAATTAGACACTAGTGACGATTGTACAACCCTGTAAATGTACTAAACGCCACTGAACTATACACTTTAAAAATGGTTAAAATGGTGAATTATGTATTATACATATTATAGATACATATTGCCGAAAAAGATTATAGAAGGGAAGGAATTGGAGGTGGAAAACATGAACAATTCTTTTAAGAAATTTTGCTGTAATAGGGAGCTGAGAAATGGTGCAGAAGCTGGAAGGGAATGTAGAGTGAAAGGAAGGTTTTTAAAATATTGAAGATACTGCTATCATATAAACATCAACAGTGAAGGAGAAAATCAGCAGATCTCAGGAGAAATGAATAGTAAATGTATTGAGGAAATCAGTCTGTTATTAAATATCCAAATACCAATAATAGCAACTACAGTAATATTAAAAGAATAACTATTATTTACTGAGCTCAGTGTGCCAAACACAGTGCTAGATGCTTTAGCTATGTCATCTCATGCAATGAACACCACAGCCATGAAGATGTAGATAGCCTGATTTTACAGATGAACAAAACAGCCTCAGACAAGTTTAGCAACTTGCTCAAGGTCACACAGTTACTAAGTGGAGAAGGGCCATGATGCAAACCCATGTCTACCTGGTTCCAAAGTCTGTTCTGTAAAAAATCCTTTCCCCTTGATGTGGCCCACATACCAGCAGCCTCTGAATTACCTGGAAGCTTGCCAAAAAAAAAAAAAAAAAGGCAAAGTCTTGGGCCCCATCCCAAAGAACTGAGTGCAAATCTGCATTTTAACAGATGAGATGAGTTGTAAATCCATAAAAATTCGAAAATCACTACCACCCTGCTATGAATATACCATTCCTCACTGATAACAAAACCTCAACTTTAGTCTTAGGGAAAGATTTTTGATCTATTTTGTTTACAGTGAGTTTCTATAATAATATTAATTCCTCACATACAATTAGCAGATAAGGGAATGATTTCCAAATAACATGGAAGTTACACTGATTCAGGTGTGATTTTTTTCCCCCAACACGTTAATTTTTTACCCCCATCAAGTTAATGCAAAGCACATTAACACAAGACTAGACATGGTGCCATTTCCCTTCCAGCTGGCTCTTGGCTTCATTGAGCCCCGTGCTGTGTCTGAAGAACTTACTATAGGAGTTTCCCTTGCCTACTAACCCAGCAGCTTCTAGCTTTCTTTACATCTCTTCCATCCAGCCACCTTCAACCTTTTTAAGTACTGTATTTGCTCTGTTATTTCCTTGGTTAGTGGTAATTTAACATCTGTGTAAGTTTGCAAGGATTTTTGTATTAATATGTTACTATTTTTGTTTGTTGCATTAGTTTTAAGAGATTTACCCTAACTCTATTTTCCTCCAGTTTGCCGAATGAAAAAGCAATTGTCAGCAATTTGCAGAATGAAAAGGACAATGTATGTCACATCATAACCAAACACCTGCATTCTGGAATGGCTGGGGTGGTTTAAAGGATACATCCATCTACTTTTGGATAGGTAGGTACCCATTATTCTCAATGATGCCGCGTTGTTACGGAAGAGGTGATGGGCTCGGAAATAGAGGAAATGCATCAAAATAATCAGTGACAAAAATGCCCAGCTAAAGAGTTTAAACTGCTCCCGGCATTTAAATGTTATTGGCATAATGAAATTTTCTAGGAAAAGTCCTAGTGACTCTAACAGAGATCCTGACCTAGCTTCTGTCTCTGCAGCCTCCCTTGGTTTCAACCTCAGTCATTGACAAATTTACATTCCTGTCTGGCCCAGAGACATGCAGCATCCTTGGCCCCCACTCCTGGCCCCTGGTGATTTTTCTTTGCTGACACCTACCTGCCTAAACAGACCCTTAGCACAGCCTTGACAGGAATGTTTGCAGCCTCTCTCCAGACAGAATCCTGATTCAAAACCCACATGCCTGAAGCTAAGCATGTGACTACGAATGAAATCTACTATTTCTATAGGTTACAAAACTCCCTCTCACACATGCCATTACCACTACTTAATATCTAGAGCATTAAGAATTTTTTTATTGAAGTACAGACAATTACACTGTATCAATTTCTGGTGTACAGCACAATGTCTCAGTCTTGCATATACATACACATACTGGTTTTCATATTTTTTTCCATTAAAGGTTATTACAAGATATTGAGCATAGTTCCCTGTGCTATACAAAAGAAACTTTTTAAAAAATCTATTTTTATTTATAGTAGCGAACATTAGTAAATATCAAACTCCCAAATTTATCCCTTCCCACCCCCCTTTCCATGGTAACCATAAGATTGTTTACTAAATCTGAGAGTCTGTTTCTGTTTTGCAGTTGAGTTCATAGTGTCCTTTTTTTTTTTAACATTCCACATATGAGTGATATCATGGTATTTTTCTTTCTCTTTCTGGCTTACTTCACTTAGAATGATGATCTCTAGGTCCATCCATGTGGCTGCAAATGGCATTATTTTATTCTTTTTTATGGCAGAGTAGTATTCCATTGTATAAATATACCACAACTTCTTTATCCAGTCATCTGTCATGGTTGCTTCCATGTCTTGGCTGTTGTATATATTTAGAGCATAAAGGATTGATATTTCAATACTGATGTTTTGTCCTTAATCCTGCTTCTTAAATATGTGTCTGATTATAACATTTTTAACTATGACTGTTGTCCTTAAAATGAGTTGTCTTTTTAATCAAAATATTACCATCTCATTTAGGGATTAAAAAAAGATATCGTTGACATTAAAAGAAAAGATAGAATTTACAATATTTTTAGTCATTTTCTGTCCATTTTTCTGTTAAGCCCAAATTCTTAAAGAAGCTATTCACTCTTTCTGAACTTTTCTTTAATAAACTTTAGAAACCTCATGCAACAAATATTTTATACTTTGATTTTTCTTTATTTAAATAGTGTTTTAATTCTGGTGCAACATACTTAATACTTGTCCATTATTAATACTGAAATACTCCTGAAAATCTATCCATTTGCCTTATTCCTCTCTAACCTAAGCCTTCCTACTTATGATATTTTTATGAAGAATTCTATAGAGAATTATGTTTTAAAGGTTTGGTAATTAAGAGGAACAAGTCTATAAAATTGCATGCAAATTTTAAACAACTCTGTTACTATGTGTTGATAATCTCTTTCTGTAATAGTTCTTATCTCACAAAAGGTCTCAGTTGTGTAAGTGTGTGTGTGTGTGTGTGTGTGTGTGTGTGTGTGAAATAAGACATAGAAAGAACACAGCTGTCTTATAAACATGCTCAAAATAGTGGCAGCATCCAGTTCTTCAGACAGTGATTATCCCAAATCATAAAAGTCGTCAACTGAGTGAGCAGAAAAGAAAAGCAGATTATTTAAATTGAAGGAAGATTAGGTCTATAATTTACATCTGTCTTGCCATGCTTTTAGTCAAATAAATTCAGTTATTAAAATTGCAAATTTTACATTGCAAAACTGTACATTCATTGAATAAGTACTTCCAGGTAAAGGAAATACTGATTGCAGCTAATTTCTATAGAAAGAAAAGTTAACTAACTGAATGTTTAATATAAGGAAATGAGTGAATATGTTGGTAAGATGGGACTTCAAGCCAGAACAGAATATATACCTTGTTCAAAAGATTCAGATCCAGCAGATTTAGGAAATTAGGGCTGCATGTGAAGTAACTAGATAAAAATTCACGAAAGGGAAGATGGGTGCCAGTGGAAAGCTACTGGGTAAGAATAAATGGTTCAAGAGAAAATAAGTGATAGACACTTGAGAGTTCAGTACGAGAGAGAGAAAGAGAGAGATAGTAAGAGAGAATTCTTTCAAATAAGGATTACAAAATGATCATACAGCAAAGTACAGTTAAGAGGGGCATTTAGAGTATTTACTGATGTTCTTAAAAGTGGAATACTTGATAAATATTTGCCATACCTTGCTGGCTGTTTAATTACTCAGAAAGTGGAAGGAGCAAGGGTAATAGTCACCATTTTTGAGTAATTACCCAGTTTCAGCCATTACGCCAAGTACTTTGTATATATGATCTTACTTAATTTTCAGCAGTCATGAAAAGTATGTCCCCATTTTTATAGATAAACCAAAGCCCAGAGAAGCTCGGTATGTTGTATATGGTAAAACAGCTGGGAGGTAGAAGAGATGGATTTGAACCCAAAGCCCATGTTCATAACTCTCCTTCAAAGACAGGAGGAAAAGGTCTTAGATAAAAAAGTAATCCTATTAATTTAAATACTAGAATCATATTTGTTACTAGAAATTAGGAACAAGATTTGTTTTTATTTAAACTAAGAGAAAATATGAGTGATTCCACTGACAAGGCTAAGAGAGGCAAGAAGTGGCAATGCATATTCATCTGACCATATTTTGAAATGGAGAGAGATTTAAACTGAAATTTAATATTAACAACAAAGAAGGATTCACCATGCAATGTAGCATTATCCATGTGATCCTTAACCTGACTTAAGACTTTCCCCAGATGGTTTAGTTTTAGGTCATTTTGTAGCTGGTATACTCAACTTATTTTGAAGTGTTGAAACAAATTGTTCACTGGCAGAAATGGAATTTTTCTATGGTGGAGAGTTTGTTAATGAAAGACTTTGTGCGTTTTTGGTTGGTTGGTTGGTAGAGGTTTTTTGGGTTTTGTTTTTTTTTTTTTTTTGAGATGATGAAACAATTGCCAGAGTTGAGTTTATGTAAAACCACACCAGCAGGAAGGATTTAAATGTTTTGAACGTTTAATCTCTATTGGTTGAGGGGAATCACGTTGAAAATAACAGTGTTTGCTTTCCTACTCTTGGGATTTCAACAACTATCCTTGATGCCAGCCTCTCTTAAAGTACCCATTAAAAAACAAAGAAAAAAATACATCTAAAAAAATTTTTTTAACAGGATATTCCCTCCATGAAAGTTTAAATTCCAGCTTCCATGGCCACTTGGCTAATGGACTCCAGCCTGTGAGCTGAACACTGCCTCAAGCCAAAATCAGGTGGCCCAGAGAGCACAAAAATGCCCACTTCCTTATCCATCTGTTGCTACAACATAGGAAGGTTAAAAGTGTGTTGTGTTAGATATTGTTAAAACCCTGAAAGGGTCCAGGACTTAAAGGTAACTGTTGCTGACAGTGAGGAATGTATGTGCTTAAATGTTTGTTTTTCCTGCATATTTCTTTACCCTAAGATGTGTCTACACTCAAAAACTATGATAGACAAGTAATTATTCCTCCGCTTTTAAGAAATTCCATAACTGCAGTTAAAAAACTAGCACACACACTCTCACACACGGACACATACATACATACATACATACATACATACATACATACATACATACATACATACATACAAACAACAAAACTAGCACAAGAGTGGGCTGGATTAAAAAGTGCTAGGTATCCACATCAAAAGATGACAATCTCACTAACCTCTCGTCTGGCAAGGAGCATTTTGTCCACTTCTCGATGCCATTCTTTAAAGAAAAAAATTATAGAGGAGGATAATAGTGATAATGACAAAGAAAATAGTAACAAAAATAACTTAGATTACTTGCAACGAGACGAGCAGCATTCCAAATGCTTGCACCCTGTTAATTCATGGATCCTTGCAACAATCCTCAGGTGAAAAACCAGCAGCAGAGAGGCTGTTACTTACTCATGGTCATACAGGCAGAAAGTGGCAGGGCCATTTTGTAAAGCCCTTAAGTTTGGGGTGGGATGGGCACATTTTTTTTTTAAACAGTGGTAGTGTTATGCTAAATAATACAGTCGATCAGGGAAGACTCTCTTGAGGAAGCGGCTTTTGAACTGAAATGTGAAAAATTAAGAATTTATTAGACAAAAGGGGAGGGGATGGAAATGCAAAGCTGTTTCAAGCACAGGGAACACTGAGTGCAAAAATCTGAGGCAGGAGTGCCCTTGGTGCGTTCAATGATTTATAAGGCGGAATGACTGGAGTACAGCGAGGAGGCTGGAGCAGGAGGCAGGAGCTAGATCATTGTACCATCTTGAGCATTTTGGGTAATAGCAAGTAGGCCAATACTATCTCAGACCCCAGCTATCGTGTTACGTGGTTCAGAGAAGACCATGTATAAATACAGGTTGACTGAATGAATGAAGCCCTACATTTTATAGAGCTTGTATAAGAGCTTTATGTTACCTTCGTTGCTACAGAATCATTAAAATGAATTTTTGTGTCAAGAGCACAAAAAACTGCACAAAGACAGCTTTTCCTTTTAAAACAAGCGCAAGAATAAAGCTAAACCCAATTGGCGCGTCTCTGGTAAGCACTGCGCGTGCGCCACTGGCCAGTTCCGCAACGCTCGAAGACCCTCAAGCAAGAGAATCACCTTTGCGCTTGCTCAGTTCGGGGCTGCTCAACTAGAGGGCGGGTTCCGGAGAAAAGGAAATGGTCATTGCGTTTGCGTAGGTCCTTCGGCGTCTTAAGCTGGCTGCGCAGGCGCACAAGTACCATTTTGACCGTAAACATCCTGCCGATTTGAACCG